TAGTGGACATCCCTGCCGCGTTCCTGACCTTAGGGGGAAAGCTCTCAGTTTTTCCCCATTGAGAATAACATTCCCTGTAGGTTTTTCATAGATGGCTTTTATGATATTGAGGTATGTACCCTCTATCCCTATACTCTGAAGAGTTGATCAAGAAAGGATGCTGTACTTTGTCAAAAGCTTTTTCTGCATCTATTGAGAGGATCATATGATTCTTGTTCTTTCTTTTGGTAATGTATTGTATCACATTGATTTGCGGATGTTGAACCAACCTTGCAGCCCAGGGATAAATCCCACTTGGTCGTGGTGAATAATCCTTTTAATGTACTGTTGGATCCTATTGGCTAGGATTTTGGTGAGAATTTTTGCATCCATGTTCATCAGGGATATTGGTCTGTAATTCTCCTTTTTGATGGGGTCTTTGTCTGGTTTTGGGATCAAGGTAATGCTGGCCTCATAAAATGAGTTTGGAAGTTTTCCTTCCGTTTCTATTTTTTGGAACAGTTTCAGAAGAATAGGTATTAATTCTTCTTGAAAGGTTTGGTAGAATTCCCCTGGGAAGCCATCTGGCCCTGGGCTTTTGTTTTTTGGGAGATTTTTGATGACTGCTTCAATTTCCTTAGTGGTTATAGGTCTGTTCAGGTTTTCTATTTCATCCTGGTTCAGTTTTGGTAGTTGATACATCTCTAGGAATGCATCCATCTCTTCCAGGTTATCTAATTTGCTGGCATAGAGTTGCTCATAATATGTTCTTATAATTGTTTGTATTTCTTTGGTGTTGGTTGTGATCTCTCCTCTTTCATTCATGATTTTGTTGATTTGGGTCATTTCTTTTTTCTTTTTCATAAGTCTGGCCAGGGGTTTATCAATCTTGTTAATTCTTTCAAAGAACCAGCTCCTAGTTTCGTTGATCTGTTCTACTGTTCTTTTAGTTTCTATTTCATTGATTTCTGCTCTGATCTTTATGATTTCTCTTCTCCTCCTGGGTTTAGGCTTTATTTGCTGTTCTTTCTCCAGCTCCTTTAGGTGGAGGGTTAGGTTGTGTACTTGAGACCTTTCTTGTTTCTTGAGAAAGGCTTGTATTGCTATATACTTTCCTCTTAGGACTGCCCTTGCTGCCTCCCAAAGATTTTGAACAGTTGTGTTTTCATTTTCATTGGTTTCCATGTATTTTTTAAATTCTTCTTCATTCTTCAGTAGGATGCTCTTTAGCCTCCATGTATTTGAGTTCTTTCTGACTTTCCTCTTGTGATTGAGTTCTAGTTTCAAAGCATTGTGGTCTGAAAATAGGCAGGGAATGATCCCAGGCTTTTGGTACTGGTTGAGACCTGATTTATGACCTAGGATGTGATCTATTCTGGAGAATATTCCATGGGCACTAGAGAAGAATGTGTATTCCGTTGCTTTGGGGTGGAATGTTCTGAATAGGTCTGTGAAGTCCATTTGGTCCAGTGTGTCATTTAAAGTCTTTATTTCCTTGTTGATCTTTTGCTGAGACGATCTGTCCATTTCAGTGAGGGGGATGTTAAAGTCCCCCACTATTATTGTACTGTTGTCAATGTGTTTCTTTGCTTTTGTTATTAATTGCCTTATATAATTGGCTGCTCCCATGTTAGGGGCATAGATATTTACAATTGTTAGATCTTCTTGTTGGTTAGATCCTTTAAGTATGATGTAGTGTCCTTCCTCATCTCTTATTACAGTCTTTGGTTTAAAATCTAATTTATCTGATATAAGGATTGCCACTCCAGCTTTCTTTTGGTGTCCATTAGCATGGTAAATTGTTTTCCACCCCCTCACTTTCAATTTGGGGGTGTCTTTGGGTCTAAAATGAGTCTCTTGCAGACAGCATATCGATGGGTCTTGTTTTTTAATCCAGTCTGTTAGCCTGTGTCTTTTGATTGGGGCATTTAGCCCATTTACATTCAGGGTAACTATTGAAAGATACGAATTTAGTGCCATTGTATTGCCTGTAAGGTGACTGTTACTGTATATTGTCTGTGTTCCTTTCTGGTCTATGTTGCTTTTATGGTCTCTCTTTGCTTAGAGGATCCCTTTCCAGATTTCCTGTAGGGCTGATTTTGTGTTTGCAAATTCCTTTAGTTTTTGTTTGTCCTGGAAGCTTTTTATCTCTCCTTCAATTTTCAATGACAGCCTAGCTGGATAGAGTATTCTTGGCTGCATATTTTTCTCATTTAGTGCTCTGAATATATCCTGCCAGTCCTTTCTGGCCTGCCACGTCTCTGTGGATAGGTCTGTTGCCAATCTAATGTTTCTACCCTTGTAGGTTACATATCTCTTCTCCCGAGCTGCTTTCAGGATTTTCTCTTTGTCTATGAGACTCGTAAGTTTTACTATTAGATGTCGGGGAGTTGACCTATTTTTATTGATTTTGAGAGGGGTTCTCTGTGCTTCCTGGATTTTGATGCCTGTTTCCTTCCCCAAATTAGGAAAGTTCTCTGCTCTAATTTGCTCCATTATACCTTCTGCCCCTCTCTCTCTTTCTTCTTCTTCTGGGATCCCAATTATTCTAATGTTGTTTCATCTTATGTTATCGCTTATCTCTCGAATTCTGCCCTCGTGATCCAGTAGTTGTTTATCTCTCTTTTTCTCAGCTTCTTTATTTTCCATCATTTCATCTTCTATATTACTGATTCTCTCTTCTGCCTCATTTATTCTAGCACTTAGCGCCCCCATTTTTGATTGCACCTCATTAATAGCCTTTTTGATTTCTACTTGGTTGGATTTTAGCTCTTTTACTTCTCCAGAAAGGGTTTCTCTAATAACTTCCATATTTTTTCAAGCCCAGCTAGTATCTTTAAAGTGATGATTCTGAACTCTAGATCTGACATCGTACTAATGTCCGTATTGAGTAGGTCCCTGGCAGTCGGTACTACCTCTTGTTCTTTTTGTTGAGGTGATTTTTTCCGTCTTGTCATTTTGTGCAGAGGAGAATAGATTAATGAGAGAACAAAATGCTAGCAGAGTAACCACGTCCCCAGAAAATATACTCTAAACAAATCAGAAAAGACCTGAAGCAGTGGGATAAGAAAGGGAAAGCGAAAAAAAAGAAAAAGAAAATAAAGAAAAAGAAAAAGATAAAGATAAAAACAAAAACAAACAAAACAAAACAACAACAACAACAAAAAAAAACCAGAATGTGATCAAATATGATCTATATGGTATATAGATCAGTGCCACACACTAGATTTGGGGTGTATTTTGGTCTTTTAGAAGAAAGTGCCTCCCAAAATTTTAAAGAAAGAAAAACTTATATATGTACAAAAATAAGGGTTGATATGAAGGGATGGAATATGACTGTAAAGATGGAAATTATAAAAAATTTTATAAAAGGAATTGATAAGAAGTTGTTTGAAAAAAGAAAGAAGAGGGTTTAAAAAAAGGAAAAAGAAAACAAACAAAAAAAAAAGGGAGAGGATGTGATCAGGCAGGGGAATAGAAAACACCATATACTAGAGATTTAGGGTATATTTTAATCTGTCAGAAGAAACTATCTCAAAATTTTAAAGAGAGAACAACTTATATATATAAGCCAAAAATATGGGTAACTACTATGAAGGGATAGAATATGACTCTAAAAATGAAAAATAAACATTTTTTTTTTAAAAAAGGGATTGATAAGATGTTGGTTGAAAAAGGGAAAAAGAAAAATTCAAAAAGAAATAAAAAGACAAAAAGACAGTTAAAAAAAATTAACTTTAAAAGACTAAAGAATCATGGTAAAAAAGTCGTGAATTCTATGTGCAGTAGTCCCCTAGCGCTGGAGTTCTGCTGTTCTCATTGATCGGTAAACTTGGCCTTGGCTGGCTGTTCTCGCTGATCTTCTGGGGAGGGGCCTGTTGCCGTGGTTTCCAAATGTCTCTGCCGGAGGCGGAATTGCCCCGCCCTTGCCCCCTCCCGGCTAAGTAATCTGCTCGGGTTTGCTCTCCGGGCTTTTGTTCCCTGCGAGCTTTCCGTACAGCTTTGGAGGCGGAGAGTGAAAATGGCGGCCTCCCAATCTCCGCCCCGGAGGAGCCGAGAACTCGGGCTCCACTCCTCAGTGAGCCCCCAGAGAAAAGCCGTCAGTCACTCCCGTCTCCCTGGTCTGCAGCTGCACTCCGTGCTCAACCGGCCTGTGACCGCGCGTTTCTATCGCTGGCACCCAACCCGGTCTGGAGTCTCCGAACCCAACAGATCCCTGCGGTGCTCTCCCGCGTGGCTCCTCCCGGGGGAGGAAGGGGAGCCTCCCCGGATCTGCCGCTTGTTGGGTCCCTGCTGGAGGAGCAGTGGCCCGACTGTGCCACGGATCACGGTTTATGGCAACCCCGAGCTGAGAGCCCGCGCATGGGCTCCATCTCTGCAGCCAGCTTCCCTGCTCCGATACCTGGGAGCTCTGCCGCACTCAGGCACCCCTGGTCTTTCTGTGACCCCGAGGGTCCTGAGACCACACTGTCCCGCGACAGTTCCACCCCCAGTTTAGCCACCAGAGTGACGTCCCTCAGCGGACCAGACTTTTAAAAGTTCCGATTTTGTGCTCCGCGGCTCTATCACTTGCCGGAAGCGGCCAACAGAGGCCCCTCCCCCGCTGTCTATCCTCCCAAATATCGGCTCGGATTCACTTCTCCACACGTCCTACCTTCCAGAAAGTGGTCGCTTTTCTGATGAGAGAGTTGTTGCTCTTCTTTTCTTCGATCTCCTGTTGAGTTTGTAGGTGTTCAGAATGGTTTGATCCCTATCCAGCTGAATTCCTGAGAGGAGACGAAATCCAGGACTCCTACTCCTCCGCCATCTTGCTCCACCCCCTCGAGTTTTGTATTTTTAATCCTTGGTTATCAACTCGTATTTTTTAGTGAGACAAAAAAACCATTTTTTTTTAAAGCTTTTTGAGTATAGGTGTGGCCTGTCAGATAGTGGGCTTCACTGTAGGGTTTTCTGTAGGCTATTTGTTATTTCATTGAGGGGAAAAACTCCCATTTGTTTTCACCCATAGTCATTTTTTTTAGGTTTAGTCAGTTACCCCAAGCGTGGAAACTTCCTTACTGCCAGTTTTCTGTGACTGAGGAGGGAAGAAGGCTGGATATCTCACTATTTGGTAGGTAGTCATTCACTTAATAATTTGTTCTGACCCCTTCAGCTATATATGGTACTTCTGAATGTGGTTCACCTTTTTAAGAATATATTAAATAGGATAGGCTAAACTGCTGTAACAAATAGATACCAAATGTATAATGTCTCAGACACAACAGGATTTTATTTCTTGTTCCTTAAGAATCTAAAATGGGTTTTCCTTGTTGGCAGGCAGCTCTTCCATACATAGTGAATTAAGGATCCAGACTTCTACCTAGTGGTTTTGCCATCCATGGACACCCCATCATCAACTTCATCTAGCCAGCAGAAAGGTAGAGAGAATTTTCCGAGATGAAAATACTTAACTAACAGATCACTATCTGTGAATCACTATCTGTGATTCATTATCACTGTAAAATTCATGGCTATTACTTAGAGAGGGAAATTATTGGTAAGTGCTGCTAGGTGCCTAAGACAATCTCCTTTTCACTCACAGGTTTTAATCATCCTCAAAAGCCTGTGAGTTCAACTTTACCTCCAAGTGAGCAAGGTGAAGTTCTGAGAGAATTAAGTTTCTTAGGTTCACTGCTGCTAAGTGGCACATTCAGGGTCTAAAGCCAGATTATAAAATCAGTTCATTTTAAAAATTTTCATTTTTAAAATATGTGTGGTAGAATATAGCCTCTAAAAACCATTTAAAAACATGAAATGTTTTTATATGACATTTTGTTTTGAAAAAAATCCCTGAACTGTCTAGAAGATACACAAAGTATGTTGAAAATTATCATTGTATATCTTAAACTTCTGGCAAGTAGTCCAAAACTAGATAAATCTGGAATATTAAAATAGGCTAATGTGATATAGACCAATTGGGTAGTTATTTTAGATTGGGTGGACTAAGGTTGCCTAAGGTAAATGTAATGTGTCAGTATACTTTAAAGAATAATACATTGAATGCCTATTACCCTGCTGCCAAGAAAGAAATAAAATATTGTCAGTAATTTAGAGGCCCAATATATGTTCCTTTCGGGTCACATTTTCCTCCCTACGACACCTTCCCCGACCTCCTTGCTTCAAACAACCATGACTCAGAATTTTGTTTTAATCATTGCATTCATTTTCTTTGAAATTCAACTATATTTGTGTGTAACTCAAAACAATATATTTCATTGGTTTGCCTAGCTGAGAACTTTCTATAAATGGAATCAGACTATTTTTGTCTTTCTGTTAGTTGATTCTTAGCTTCTTTTTTTTTTTTTTTTTAAAGATTTTATTTATTTATTTGACAGAGAGAGCAAGAGAGCACAAGCAGGGGAGGAGCAGAAGGAGAGGGAGAAGCAGGCTACCCGCTGAGCAGGGAACCCGATGCGGGGCTCGATCCCAGGACCCTGGGATCATGACCTGAGCTGAAGGCAGACGCTTAACCATCTGAGCCACCCAGGTGCCCCTGATTCTTAGCTTTGACATAGGTTTTTGAAAATCATGTATTTTGATGCAGCCATAGTAATTAGTACATTTCTCTGCTATATGCTGTTACATTGTATGGATATATATTTGTCCATTTGATGTTATGAACAAAGATGTTTTGAATTTTTTAATAGATAGTTCCTGTTTCCATATTTAGAATTTCTCTAGGGCAGGGATTTTTAAACTTTTTTATGCCATAGCACCCTTTGGAAATCTTTTTTTTTTTTTTTTTGTAATTTTATTTATTTGAAAGAGAAAGAGCAAGGGGGAGAGAGAGAGAGAGAGCATGAACAGGGGGAGGGGCAGAGGGAGAGGGAGAAGCAGGCTCCCCACTGAGCAGGGAGCCTGACATGGGGCTTGATCCCAGGACTCTGGGATCACGACCTGAGCCCGAAGGCAGACACTTAACTGACTGAGCCACCCAGGCGCCCCAACTCTTTGGAAATCTTGTAGGCCTGTGGAACTGTAGGGGCTGAGGGCAGGTTACTCCAAGATTAGCCACTTTGGGGGCGCCTGGGTGCTCAGTCATTAAGCGTCTGCCTTCAGCTCAGTCATGATCCCAGGGTCCTGGGATCAAGCCCCGCATCGGGCTCCCTGCTCAGCAGGAAGCCTGCTTCTCCCTCTCCCAATCCCTCCCCCTCTGCTTGTGTTCCCTCTTTCACTGTGTCTCTTTCTGTCAAATAAATAAATAAAAATCTTTAAAAAAAAAAAAGATTGGCCACTTTGGCATGAAGATTATTTTGAGCTGAAGGCAATCAAGACCCTGTAGGCTCAAGAGAAACTTTTGCCCTTCTCTTAAGTACATGGAAGAATCTAAACTGGGGATCTTTGCCAGCATAAGGGTTATTACCAGAGATAAATTTTATCTGAGTGACCAATCTGTATGGCAGGACAAACAGCTGATTACCAAACATCTGCTTTTCTTATTGCCCTGTGAATTACGTTCTTTTCCTCTGAAGTTCTGGAACCCTATGCACTTCTCCTTAATTCAGGATGACATATATACCTCATTTTGCCTGTCTTTGGAATTTCCATATCTGTTTGGATTCCCCATACATATGCTGTTAAATTTGATTTTCTCCTGTTAATCTGTCTCTTGTCAATTTGATTCTTAGTCCAGCTAGAAGAACCCCTGAAGGGGACAGGAATTCTTGCTCCCCAACACAACCCTAATGTTTTACATGCTTAGCAAATACATAGGTTTACAAAGAAAACAGATTAAGCTAGAATGATCAAAATATGAAAATATTTTTTTTAAGTTTATTTAAGTAATCCCTACATCCAACATGGAACTCAAACTCACTTTCCCGAGATCAAGAATCACATGCTCTTCCAACTGAGCCAGCCACGTGCCCCTGAAAGAAAATTCTTGATAAAGAAATAGACATACTTCTTTATTAGGGTACTAAATAACAGGATTTATCATTGGATTTAACAACTATCATAATTTAGTGATGAGCATAAAAGAAATTTTTATATATTTGTAACACCTCTGAATGGAATTTGACAATATCTATGATATTTTTTGGTCACAAAGTCACAGGTCACATTGTGATTTGTTGCCTACATTCATACTTAAAGGAAATGCTTATTTTCAGTTAGAAGTTGGTGACAATTGTTAAAAAAGAAAATTCAGCTGAGTAAATTTTGAAGATCTCATTGCCTTTATTAAACGATTCATGATGGGGCACCTGGGTGGCTCAGTCGGTTAAGCAGCCAACTTTGGATTTTGGCTCAGGTCATGATTTCAGGGTCCTGGGATGGAGCCCCATGTTGGGCTCCATGCTCAGTGGGGAGTCTGCTTGAAGATTCTCTCTCTCCCTCACCCTCTGCCCCTTCTTCTGGTCACACGTTCGCTCTCTTTCTCAAATAAGTAAAATGTAAAAAAGATCCATGAATTGGGCAACATCTCACTCTAGTAAGTAGAGGGATGCTCTGAGGAGTTATACAAAATGGAAGGTTTTTATAGGAAGGAGGGTGGGGCAAGAAAGTTATAAACAACAGAAAAAGGATATTTCACGGCAAGGTCACTTTCTCTTTTTTTTTTTTTTTAAAGATTTTATTTATTTATTTGAGAGAGAGAATGAGATAGAGAGAGCATGAGAGTGGGGAGGGTCAGGGGGAGAAGCAGACTCCCTGCTGAGTGGGGAGCCCAACGCGGGACTCGATCCCAGGACTCCAGGATCATGACCTGAGCCGAAGGCAGTCGCTTAACCAACTGAGCCACCCAGGCGCCCAAGGTCACTTTCTCTTGGTGGGGTTGGTGGAAGAGCAGGTGTTCTTATGCAGATTACCTCATCTTCCTTTGGGGGGTTGGAGGGGGCTATGTTACAGACTCAGTGGCACCTGTCAGAAAATTCTTGACTGACCACTTAAGATTACATTTTTGGGGAAGATTGATACTGCAGTTAAATTGGGTATTAAGCCTTGGTTTACTGACTTGGGGCCTTAACCGAACTGATGCCATTTTGGTCCTGTGTTTTTGTGTTTTTTTAACACAATAAAGATGAAATTTTTTTTCCCATCTAAGTTACCAGACCCTCTGAATTCTTCCATAGACACCTTGAGGATCTGTGTACCAGAGGTTAGGAGCTGCTGCATTAGAGTATATACCTAGGAATGGGATTGCTAGGTCATAAGATATGTACCATATTCATCTTTACTAAACAGTGCCAAACCATCTTATAAATTTATGCCCTTAATCACAGTGTATGGGTTTTTTCTGACCAATTTTTTATACTGTCCATTTGGTCTGATGAGTATGAAGATGCATTTTTACACCTTACATAAGAAATAGGTATCAAGTAAAGGGTGGAGGGAATTATATGACGTGTGCAAAGGCAATAGTCCATTTGATGGTGTTCCTGCATGGTTTTGTCCAAAGGTCCAGCTCATGCAGATCTGCAGAAGGAAGGAGGAGAGGTTGATCCAATGCTGTCCCAACTGAGTAGGAAGGAAGGCGATAGCTCTGCATGTAAACTTTGATGCCTGTATTTTGGTGACATCCCTGGCTAAGTACCTTAGTGCTGTCTTATAAGGCCACTAGATGGTGGTATAGACTACTTTTCCTTCATTGAAGTGTGACCTAGCATGTGCTATTTTTGTTGTAATTTTTGAGTTCCTGTAATTTAAGCTATAGTTATTTAGTATGGAGTTATCTCACAGTTCCATTTTTTTTGTATGCATGATACAGGATTATGTATTGGAAGAGAAAAATTTCAGTAAAGGCTGTTAACAGAAATTCAAGTTTGAAATTTGAAGATATGAAGAGGCTTTATTCAACAATTCATGAATTGGGCAGCATCTCTGAGTAAATAGCTACGTGGAAGAGTTGTGCAAAATGGAATAGTTTTATAGGCAGAAGGAGGGTGGGGCAAGGGAGCTATTAGCAAAAGAAAAGACAGGATTGTTTCAGGCCTGGTCATATTTTGGGGGAAAGGAAAAGCAGGGGTTTTATGCAGATTACCTTACTAGTGCTAATCAGGAAATTTCAGATTGACTGTTCAAGGTCACATTTCTGGGAGAGGTGGAAACTGCAATTAAGTCTTGGTTTGCTGTTATGGGTGAAAATGACTCCACTTTGGGTCTGTTGTTTCTTTTCCAACAAGGTGAATTACTATCAGTGTTTATGGGTTTCTTTTCTTTATTTTTATCATTATTTTTAAAAGTAATTGGGAATAAAAAATAATTTCCATTTTCATTCAGTTTCTTAAAAAGTTTTCTACTCATATCAGTGAATATTTTTGTTAAGCACCTGTTGTATGTTGAGCATTGAGTTAAATGCCATGGGAAGGAAAATAGACTATACACTGCTTCAGCTTGTCAACATGTCTTGATATTTCTGTATCAGCCTCCTTGTTGCTAGTCTTCTTCGAATTAGTGGTAGGAAAGATTTGTGAGCAACTCAGTATTAAATATAGTATGAATTTCTTCCAAGTTGTTTCTATAAAATTGCTTTCATTACTAAAACACATGAACATCTGTGTTTAATATATATTAAATATTATGATATCCCTTTTTAGATATCCTGTATTAATTGGCTTTCTTTATGTTTTGATTTTAAAAGTGAATTCTAGTGGCAGTAACGTTTTAGACTTCTCATTAATAAATGTAATTATTCCTTGAAATAGGCTTTACAAGTCTATTGCTCTGAGTGATCTTTGTGCCTCCCAACTGGAGTTGGAGAGAGATGTTATGGGAGAAGTATTTCTGGAGCTTTGCTACTTGTTTTAGATTGTTACTAAATATGCTGGCTTTTCCCCTACATATAAATTGAGACACTTTCTAGCTTAAAACACTCGTGCACTTAGTTTATGACATATTTTTTCATGAAGCTCCTCTTTCAAATGACCCATTATCCAGTGTTCTCTAGTATATTTCTTTTCACTTTCACTTCCACAAGCTGTCAGATACCCACTAGCTGAGTAATGAATTCACTTTTTAATGTGTTTTAGCTTTACTTGACCATCATTGTTTTTACAGCATCTTTATAATTTTTTTCATTTATATATGAGAAATAATTTACATTTCTGATTTCTTGTGAATTCATCTTTTCATAATTTTGTAGGCCATATCGTTTTCATTTTTCGAGATCTCACTTTATTACCATTGCCCAATTTTCTGTTGTATCTTTATCTTACTGATTTGAAGTCTTGCTGGAAAAGCCAGAAAAAGAAGAGCGTGGTGAGGTCAAGACTGCCTCAGATACTAGGTGACCTTCAGTGTTGGCTTCTTGCAGAATCCAGAGAAACAGACCTGCTCAGCGGGATGGACGGCAAAGGCTCCTACCAGGTGAAGGGCTGGAAGCTCACACAGCAGCAGTTTGTGGCCCTTCTGTGGAAGAGGCTGCTGATTGCCAGACGGAGTCGGAAGGGATTCTTTGCTCAGGTGACAAGTGCTGCTCCAGGCCAGTGACTCTGGCTCCCCGGGTGGGCCGCAGGCTCCCTGACCAGTGCAGGCAGGGGAGGGTCATGGTTGTGAGGTGGAGCTGGAGCCAGACTTTCCGTATTTCAATCCCAGTCCTGCTTCCTGCCGCTCACGCATCTGCGGGCGAGTTACTTCTCTGTGCCTCCGTGTCCTCATCTTTAGAATGAAGATAATGTGCCTATGACATAGGGTTGTTATGAGGATTAAAGTGAGTAAGTGCTTAGAATGGGGCCTGGCATTAAGTCGTGCTGTGCTCTGTGTGTGTGTGTGTGTGTGTGTGTGTGAGGTTTATGGTAGAGGACAGCGTAACAAGGACAGAGTTTAGGAAAATTGGCTGGGCAAATTCAGTTTTCATAAGCTGAGATGCACTTGACATATAAACTTCTTGGAAACATGACTTTTCTCTAAAGTGATGTTTAACTGCAAATTGACAGAAAGGTAGCCGGAGAGGTCAGAAAAAAATGGGCAAACAGAGAAGACTCCTTACACTGTTGCCTGCATGTCAGTGTTTGCATGCTAAGTTGCTTGGTCAGAAGGGATAAAATTATCCTGCTGTATAAAATCGAGAAGTATAGAGAAAGTGTCTGTAGAGATTCTTCCCTGCAGACTCTGTGGGTAATGCAGGGAGTATGAATTTGGAGCATGCAGACCTGGGTTGGAATTCTGGTTCTGCCACTTATTGGCTGTGTGACCTTGGGCAAGTTGCTTAGTCTTTCTGAGCTCAATTCCCTTGTTCGTTGATTGGTGATAGAGTTGTAACGATAATGAAATGAGATGATTGTCATAGAGTATTTTCCCATAAAGAAGGATTTGGGTGATGACGCATTTTGAGGCCATCCCATGGTGACAGCGGACGCTGTCCCCTTTCAGAGCGTGGGGTCTGGCTGGGTCACTTAGTCTTGGTCTGTAGATTACAAGTGAGAGGCCGCAGCGGGAGTGACTTCACATGGGTAAACTTGTAGTAGGACAGAACCAGGCTTCGGGTCTTCTGGCTCCTGGTGGAGGGCTTGATCTCTCGGCCTTTCTCTGAGCTGAGCCGGGCTCATGGCTCATCGTGGTCTTTCTCAGGTCTTCGGTGGGAAGAGAGCAGGACCCAGAGTTCTGAGTCCCCCTGACCTGTGACCACTGTTTACTCTGTGAAGTTTTGAGCTTCGTGCCACTGAGAGGTGTCCACAGCCTCTGGCCTTGTGCTGCCAGCCTCCAGAAATGCCCTGGAGGGAAGAGGTTTCGGTGGCAGGATCTGCTGCTTCCCACCTGCCATGAATGCCTTGGTGGAGCTCTGTTCTGGGTCCCGTGGTGCTCACTTGCGTGCTGGCTGGGCTGGGGAGGCTGGCTGGACTCTTAGGGGCTTGCCCCAGGCCCCTTTTTCTGTCACTTGGCCTTGTTTTGCCACTTCCTTACCCCCTCTGTCCGCTGGCTACAGATCGTCCTACCAGCTGTGTTTGTCTGCATTGCCCTGGTGTTCAGCTTGATTGTGCCCCCCTTTGGCAAGTACCCCAGCCTGGAACTTCAGCCCTGGATGTACAACGAACAGTACACGTTTGTTTCCTTTCTGTGCCCCTGGAGAGAAGAGAGCTCAGGCAGACTGAGGGTGTTGACGCTGCTGAGGGCCAAGGGCAGGTGGACTCGAGAATCACGCAGTGGAGTGCATTTTATCAGCTATTCCAAAGCCCCGACACAGACTAATATCGTATGCAAAGAACAGCAGGGAATTGAACTTGAAATGAGAGTCCTCTTTTGTCATATTTGAACTTTTCTCCTCTTTATACTGGTATTTCCAGCTACAGTTATATGTATTTTAAGAAAATAATCTGCCCTTCTAAAATCTAGGATTAAGTTATAAATGTATTTGGATATTTACAGCTATGTGAATTTTGTAGTTAAGTCAAAGGATTTATACACATTGTACCTCTAGGAAGTTAATGCTTTGTTTTTTTCCACAATGCAATTCTTGCATTTTTTATCTGTTAAGTTGTAGATATTAGCTAGTATTTGTCCTTTAGACAAAAATAGCCCTTACCTAGAAGAAGAAGGTAGCGGGAGGGGAAGAATGAAGCAGGGTAAATCGGAGGGGTAGACGAACCATGAGAGACGATGGATTCTGAAAAACAAACTGAGGGTTCTAGAGGGGAGGGGGGTGGGAGGATGGGTTAGCCTGGTGGTGGGTATTGAGGAGGGCACGTTCTGCATGGAGCACTGACTGGGTGTTATGCACAAACAATGAATCATGGAACACTTCATCTAAAACTAATGATGTAATGTATGGGGATTAACATAAGAATAAAAAATTAAAAAAAAATAGCCCTTACTTATAACAAACAATCCAGTACTTCAAACAAAAGATTAAAGGAATTTCTTGTTAGGCAGAAATTTTCTTCATTTTTGTAGGATTTATAGATCTTTAGATGGGGGAGAACATGTCAGTGATATAAAAAACAAGGGAAGCTGGGGCACCTGGGTGGCTCAGTTGGTTTAGCGTCTAACTCTTGATTTCGGCTGAGGACATGATCTCAGGGTCATGAGATCGAGCTCAGGACATGATCTCAGGGTCATGATCTCAGGGTCATGAGATCAGCTCAGGACATGATCTCAGGGTCATGAGATCAGCTCAGGACATGATCTCAGGGTCATAAGATCAGGCTTTGGGCTCAGTGGTCTGCTTGAGATTCTCTCTCTCCCTCTCCCTCTGCCCTGCCTCCCTGGGCTCACGATCTCTCTCTTTCTCTCTCCCTAAAATAAATAAATGAATCTTCTAAAAAAGAACAAGGGAAGCTTTTTTAAAAAAGTTATACTATGTATACACACACACACGTGTGTATATATATATGCTATATATGCATACTCTATATACACGTAGTATATATATAGTATATATGTATAGTGTATATACATAGTTTATACACATATAATTTATACACATAGAGTTTAAACACATAGTATATATGCTATATATATAGTTGTGTGTAAATATATGCTATAGTATATATAGCATAGTGTATGTGTGTATCTGTTTATATATATATATATATAAACATATATATATGGCTCAGGTTTACTTTATTCTTTCTTTTCTAGGCTCACCTTGTATTGCTCATGGCTGTAGCAATGTGTTCATAATCTGTGCTCATTATTGTTTATAGTTTTTAGTTGTCCATGCAAATATTCAGCCAATAAAATCTCCGTGACCTTTGTAGAAAGTCGTTGTCAATGCCTAATGGATAATTGTGAAAGTACTTTTGAAATACCGATCCTTACTAAGTTTGTGAAAGTCCCTTTTTTTTTTAAAGTAGGCTCCATGCCCAGAGTGGGCCTTGAACTCATGACCCTGAGATCAAGAACTGAGCTGAGATCAAGAGTTGGATGCTTAGGGACGCCTGGGTGGCTCAGTCAGTTAAGTGTCTGCCTTCGGCTCAGGTCATGATCCCAGCGTCCTGGGATTGAGTCCCAGATGGGGCTCCCAGCTCAGCAGGGAGCCTGCTTCTCCCTCTGCCTGCTGCTCCCCCTGCTCTCTCTCTCTCTGACAAATAAATAAATGAAATCTTAAAAAAAAAAAAAAAAGAGTTGGACGCTTAACCGACTGAGCCACCTAGGTGCCCCTGAAAGTACTTTCGGAATACAGCTCTTTAATAAGTTTCTTTACTTCACATTAAAATACTTATGTAAATATATATTATGTATGTGTGTTTATACAGATATATGTTAGCACATACACACAACTTATACATATTTATACAGTCTCCACTCTGGAGTGATGTTTATCATCCTGATATCAAATATGTGGCTAGTATCTAAGGTCCTTATAGGTGAGTCTGTGTTTTATTCATTTTTGTGTTAAGAACCTAGCACTCAGGAAGTGTTTAATAAAGCAGTTACTTTGAAAAACTTTTTTACCTCCCAGTTCCTATTTCTTTTTTAAAGATTTTATTTATTGGGCACCTGGGTGGCTCAGTCGGTTAAGCGTCTGCCTTCGGCTCAGGTCATGATCCCAGGGTCCTGGGATTGAGTCCCACATCGGGCTCCCTGCTCTGCGGGGAGCCTGCTTCTCCCTCTCCCACTCCCCCTGCTTGTGTTCCCTCTCTTGCTGTATCTCTCTCTGTTAAATAAATAAATAAAATCTTAAAAAAAAAGATTTTATTTATTTATTTGACAGAGACACAGCAAGAGAGGGAACACAAGCAGGGAGAGTGGGGGAGAGAGAAGCAGGCTTCTCGTGGAGCAGGGAGCCCGATGTGGGGCTCGATCCTAGGACCCTGGGATCATGACCCGAGCCGAAGGCAGACACTCAGCAACTGAGCCACCCAGGCCTATTTTTAATGAACTACTAAATTGGCTGCTTCTCATGTACCCACAGTGATGACACTTCTGAGAACGTGGGCACCCAGGAACTCTTGAATGCCCTCAGCAAAGATGCTGGCTTTGGGATCCAACATGTGGAAGGAAAACCAATCCTCTGAGTGCCGTTTTAGATCCTCCTTGACTGGCTTCTTGTCATTGTCACCTCTAATTTCCTCTTTAATATTGCATTTATCAGCTGCATGCCACACTGTGACTACCATCATTTGCCCTTTGAATCTTTTTTTTTTTTTTCAATTTTAAAAAATCAGAACATCTAGAAACGAACATTTGGAGAGTGTTCTAACATCTTGCGAACTGAATCATTATAGCTGTTTTTTTTTTTTTTTACTGATATAGTACATTAATATTTAATTTAATAGCACCTTATACTTACCTGTCAAATGCTTTCCATCAACTCCTGTACCTAAGTTTTACAATGGGCTGCTCCATTATATATAATTTTTGGTTTTGCTTATCAGCTTTTTCACTTTGACAACCTGAAAACATGATGTATTCACTTTTTATAATAATACATATTTTCTTATTTTAATGTATATATTTTTTATGACATTTGTCTTCAAAATCCTTTTTTTACGGCACTGTATAAACAAATTCAGTGAATGTCCATAAGCCTCTAAGTGTCTGGGAGGGGAGGCCAAAGGTACATCAAGGGATCACTAAGTAAAGACAATGAAGAGAGGTGAGAAGCTTATGAGAGCCCAGTGCTGGTAGAGGTAGGTTCAGTTTTCCAGGCTAGAAAGACAAAAGAAGCATGAGCCTGATTCAGATGCTACAGCTCTGATGAAGAGCACCATTGATGTGTACTGGAGGCAGTCTGAAGATGACATCTCTGTACAGACAACTCTTACTGAAATTCAGATTTTAAGTTTTTCAAAAAGTGGTATAACTAAGGGAAATTTGACTGGGACACTTACCAGTGGCTTTTAACTTTATCTCTGCCCATGATCTTTTGGAGGTTTTAGAGTATTGAGCTTCAGGAGGGCACGGTGTCTTACTTTGACTTTTCCATCAAGTCACGGAGCTTTAGAGAGAACTAGAGAGCAGTCCACAAATCTGTTCCTTTGATATTTTTAGCACGTACAAGAATAACATAAAGAGTGTGGCTATGCATTGTAGAATTTTGCAACTGGAAGGGATGCTGGAAATGACTTGTTTAGCATGACATTATGTACTTTTATTTTACTGGTGGAAAAGATAAGACCCACGAGGGCAAGCATTGTGTTGATGGTCCACAGTGATTCAGAGCTCAAGTCAGGCATCAAGGCCTTGTGATGCTTGCAGACAACCTAGCTCTTCATGTACTGAGCACCCTCACCCCATCCCCTCCAAACTCCAATTCTGTACTCATTTTAAAGCATAAAGTGAATCTTGCCATTCTGCCCCAGATTTACAGCACATTGAGCATAACATGCAGACTCCTTCCCAGGCCCTGGTCATCTGGCACCTGCCTCCCTCCACCCTCAACTCCCATCACTCTCCTCCCTACCTCATCCCACTCCAGCCACACTGTCCCCCTGCTGTTCCTCAAACATGGAAAGTTCACTTCTTCTGAGAGACTTTGTACCTACACTTTCTATTGCCTTTGCTTGTTGTGTTCTTTCTCCCCAGATCTTTTCCTGACTCCTTTCTAATCGTTTATGTCTTGGAAGAAGGCAGTAGTCCCTCTTCCCCCGATTCAATGTCCTCTTATTTTGCTTTATTTTTGGCTAAGTGACCTTTGCTTATTGCCAAATTCCTCTCCAGAAGGCAGGGACTTTGTCTTGTTCACCCCAGACTCTCAGATATGCAGAACAGTGTCTGGCACATAGTAGATGCTCAGTGAATATTCGCTGAGCGAACACAGGGGCAAGAGACCAAATGCCGGCAGATTGGATTGACTGGAGTTTGGTATATGAGCATTTAGGGCCTCTTTGTGTTCCTTCATCCTTAACTGTAAAGTGAGTTTGCAGCTTACAGGTCTGTGGGGAGATCAAACAAATGGTGAGGGGATGGATAGATGCGTGTTTGTGGCTGTTATTGATTGGTCTGTGCTCCTGAGGCACCAGGAAAGGCTGCGTCCTCTTGGGTGATGCTGCCTTTGCTGCCCTCCCTTTGCAGACACATACCCTGCTCGGTGGGGGAGGAGGAGTGGACCACCGCCCCCGTTCCCCAGACCATCACGGACCTCTTCCAAAATGGGAACTGGACGATGGAGAACCCCTCACCCACCTGCCAGTGTAGCAGTGACAAAATCAAGAAGATGCTGCCCGTGTGTCCCCTGGGGGCAGGGGGGCTGCCTCCTCCACAAGTGAGTCACCCTCCGAGTGACTGAGCAGATGGCGGTGCAGGGGGGCTGGGAGCTTCTGCTTGGGAAGAAGGAATGGCTGACCTCTCCTGTCAGGGGGTTGTCTGATTCAGTCTTGATCTTAATTCTTATCATAGGGAAAGGCCTGTGGGTTTTGAGGGGAAGGGACTTGGTCTACAAGTTCCTATGTCTTAGCTTGTTTGTCTACTTTGCAAAGTCAGCCTCGGTTACTTACTTGTTTGAGTTAAAACCAGATCACAACACTCTGGATCAGTGGGCCGTGCAAGGCACAGTCTGGCTTCTCCCACTGAGGTCATGTCACGGAATATACTGTGACAGGCCCGGCTCCCTCCCTGGTTCTGCCAAGGATGAGCTGGTGACCTCAGACAGGCCACTCACCTCTGAATTAGGGAGGCTGGCCCATAAAACTTCTGCGGGTCTTAAGACTCTGACATTCCCTGAGGCTGTGCGTGTGGGGAGCAGTTCTGAGCCTTTTTTCTGAGAACAATTTCAGAAAGAGGCTTGCTTGTGATCTCCCTCTGTTGCTTTATCAGCATCTGGGTTGCAGGGTGAGGACAAGCAGTTGTAAATGGGTGTGAGAACTTGAAGAAGTCCTGGTTACTTCTCTTTAACAGAACAGTGAATCTATTCATCAGTATAAGTCCAATGGACCGAAGAAGTCACTGGGCATAGTCAATGATACTGCTCCCTAAAAACCTTTTGACTATAAAGAATCATGTTCCACTGTCTATTGTTCAGTAGTTCAGAATAATTTCCTTGGGGACATCTTGGCTTGGTGTAAGTGAATGGCCGATGCTGAGGGCAGAAAGGACCAGGCCTCTGTGTTTGGCTGATGGCAGCACCTGGGCCCTGTGGGCAGGGTCTGGTCACACTGTGATCCACATTCAAGGGACATGTGTCACTGTTACCCATTTTGTTATCTGCCC